AGAGAGAGAGAGAGAGAGAGAGAGAGAGAGAGAAAGAATGATATATAATTTTACTCATGTGTAAAAAGACCAGTTGAAAGTTGCCGTGTGTTTGGAAAAAATAAAGGAAAATTAATATATAGAGATCTAATCTAAAGTTAGGCCTAGTAATTCGACTGAGCGTATGTGTGTATACATGTTGTCGGGGTGCGGGTGGATGACGTCATAAGAGTTTAAGAGAGTATTGTAATAAATAGACTAGTAATACAATATAATATGCTTTTATTATAGGCCTAGTTTTTATTATTATAAACTGGCTGGAAAGTACCGGGTTTTTACAGTGGCATTAGTTACATCTACAATATCTTTTCAAGTAAAAACTAAAACAGGAAAAGTGTAAGCTTCTTTTTACCTGACGTTACTGGAATTGTTTACAATGGGTTAAGAGACCATAGATTGACCGACTCTCACTCTCCTGTCCCGATGTTTGCTCTCTCCTCTTCAACTCACCAGCTACAAAGTATCGATTTGCCGAGCCTGCACGATTCCGAGAAAGCGGAAGCGCTGCGTCATAATTCCGGGATCGCTCTCTTTTCTTCAGTCACCGTCGCGAGTTTGCGCGCGCACTCGTAAACACGGATGTAGAGCGGAGGTTTGGCGTTGTTATATAAACCGGTCGGAATTTTTCATAGCAGTATCCACAGACTTGCCGGCTTCTGCTACGGACTCAAGAGTTCCCTCTCTCTACTTTACAAGAAATCGCCAGTTCTCTTCCTGACAGAAAAGCAGCAATGGCCCAAAAGTTGAAAATTGGATACTGGAAAATTCGTGGGGTAAGCGAGACAATGCTGTTTGAAGTAGGCTATGTGTAATAAACTTATGATGAAGGCTGTGTAGGCAAGGCTACTGCATGCACGTTTGTAGATTCTATCTCGGATGAATAAGATCTATAAAATCTAGATTGTTGCTTTTGATAGAGTTGCTACAGTCTATGAGGCCAGTAGATCTATATTATAATTATCACTATGAATGGTTATGACTCTGTTATGGTTAAAGTAACATTAAGTAAAGTAATTAAAGCAAATGAATTAATGTATTCAAAGAGTGCGGACATGTATGTACATTAATAGGCCAAGCCAATGAACATTTCATTATAATGCTTTAGTCTAAACTAGAAATCTAGATCTAAATCTAGTGTAGATCTTTTTGCAGACCCCCCCCCCCTTCCAATTGTGCAGGAGAGTTTTGCAAAGAGAGCAACCGAGCAAGGTTTCAATGAATTAGATTTGCTGGAGTTGCCAGTCTCAGATGCCTAGAATTTTGCCGAATTTTATAGTTTATAATAGTTTGTCGTTTTTCTCTGTCAAATAAAGAATGTGACAGTGCTGCACTGTAGGACAAGGCAGGTGGATCAATTTGAATTCTCAAACTCAAACTCCTGAGTAAAAATGATTATAATATAAATACCATTATCAGGTAGGCATGTATATATGACTGAACATTGAACAGGGAACTGAATTCTAAATCACGGGTGGATAGCTCATATTATTTGTCGTTCTGCTAGTAATTTATACACCTTTAATTTTTCATTAGGCCTATCGCCTAACTTCGATTATGGATACACATATGTCGAACAACATATATACTGGTCGATCCCCTACAGGTTTGAGTTTAAATCTGTGAGCGCCCTACTATAATGATTATAATAATGTTCAGCTTTAAGGGATGCCCATGGGGGTTCAGGTCTGGTCGGGTTGGGTCGGGATGATCGTCCCCTTCGTCACCTGAAAACAAACGCGTTTGTTTTTGAGTCGGCGAGTTAGGCGCGATCGGCTTGTGCCATGATGGCTGCTTTGCGCCCTCAACCTGGGGCTAGCAAACCGCCTCGGCCAGACCCGATCCTCCAATGGGCACCCCCCCGTATTAGCATTTTTGCATCATGATGCCTTAACCCAATATGGTGCTGCTGGTGACATAAATTGGTTTAGCCGGGTATGCTTGCTATTTGTTTATTATTTAGTTTAGATACTACTGTATTCTTAGGGAGCAGCATTTTTATCTTGTTACAAGAGAAGGAGCAATAAAAGCTTTTACAGGGAACTTCATAGTAATATGATTCTCTTTGTTGAATAAGTAGTAGGAAATGAAATTTAATCGCTCATCTTTCACAGGATGAATATATAGGCTACAGCTGATTAAAAGAGAATACGGCAAAATCATCGCGCTATGATCTCAAAAACGAAAAAGAATAGAAAACTCTTGCTTGGACACATGCGCTGCAAATATTTTAAAGTTTTTATGTTCATTTTTTACAAGTCTTAATTATATGGCCACCACTGGCTACACATCAAGGCGATATGAGAATTCCTCCCAAAAGCCTCTCAGGATGTCTGATGATGTCTTTGTCCACTGTGTTGATTGATTGTAGCTGTTATTCGATGTTTCATGAAAATTGATTTGCTGGAAGTGGTGGAACATAAAAGTTTTGTCTTTAACATATCTGATCGAATAACAACTACAATCAACACGGTGGCATGAGACATTCTGATGCGGATTTAAACTTGAAAATATGTGCAGCGCATGTGTCCAAGCTAGAGATTTCTATTCTTTTTCGTTTTTGAAATATAGCATGATGATTTTGGCGTATTCTCTTTTAATTTAAAATCACCCTGTATAGAGAAACGATACAATAGGCCTACTGTTTTCCTACGTAACTACTTTTACTTTTTGAAAATCAAACAACTTTTGACGAAAAAGTTGCACTTGATGTGTGAGTAGGAAGTTTTCATTGGTTTTGACACACAAAAATGCATTGTGGCATTTTAATTTTAATACTAAGTGTTGCTAAAAGAACATGAATTTCTTCTAAGGCTAACAATATATGTTGACCAAAATAAATGTCGATATGGGCAGCTCATTATCTTACCAGTTTTCCTGCTGAAGAGCTTACATTTTAAAAATATATTTTGGCATTTGTAATATATTTGCTTGCCATGTCTCTTTGGATGACAACTGTATGCTCTATCACTATCAGCCAAAAACATGAAGCCAAGAGTGTAGGTTTATACACCGTTATAAGTTGAAAGCACCATCTACTCAACGAGGATAGATCGATATGAATGAGTGACCTCTTTTAGCTCCGTTAATATGCCCGAAAAGGATTCTGTTATCATCTATTCTATGAATATAAATTTTTTTTGAATGGCTGTAAAAGTGATGTTTCTTCACATTCACATGAATAAACTGTTCTTCATCTCCACCTTCTTGGAGAATTCAAGAGATATCATGCAGCTGATGTTAACTTTGTTCATATTTGAGGACATATAGATTATTGTCCTATATATATATATAAAGATGGTATTTTAGTGGTGGTATAATGTATTACACTGTGTCTGTGGTGTAATTATTACCTTGGCTCACCACCTTGCACTGTAAGCAAAGGCAAAGGACAGAAGTTCCAGTCTCAAGGGGAGAAGTTATATCATGTTGTTGAGTATGTCTATTTTTCTGCTGAAATGCAGTTGTGTATCTCCATTCACTTGGGTTGGCCTTGACCGTTAGGGTTGAAGCATCCTCTGTCCAGTTGCTGATCTGTAAGGCTTTGCAAAATATTCACGAACTGTCATTATTGGCAGTATTAAATTATTGTTGTGAATGAAAAGAGCGGCGCAGTGGGAAATGGATCTTATTTAATCATTATTATTTTATTTACTTTTTCTCCTACAGCTTGGACAGCCAATTCGTCTACTTTTGACGTATGCAGGTGCAGAGTTTGATGAAGATCAGTATGAGCAGGGTGAAGGTGAGGAAGTATTCCATCTTGGCTATGTTCAAATTTTATGCAAGTTACGTAAAACACTTAGTTAAAAACAGAACTAAAAAGTTAGGTACTGAATCTTTGTTTTTTGTTAAAACTCTTGTGTGAGGTCTCATTGCTGTTTGATCTGGATGTAAAAAAAAATAATTGTAGTTCAAGTTAAGGCATTTTTTACAGGGTAAAGATTTTTGTTGTTGTTTTGTTTGAGAAAACTTTTAAATGGAAAATGTGTCCATGTTTCTGAGAGTTTCTCTATGTTGATGAGTACTGGTAATTAATTATTAACTGTAAGTATATTATTATTTCTTTGTTTCAGGACCAGAGTTCAGCAGAGATGAATGGTTAAACGTAAAGCCCAAACTTGGACTTGATTTCCCCAATGTAAGTGGCTTTCCAGTAATTAAGCTTCTGAATATGCTTGACTCACTTTTGATTTGCACCGATATTTGACTCTCTTGTGATTTTTTTCTTCTGTAAAGAAAACGAATAATAATCTCTCTCTATATATATGTATATACTTGTAAGGTATTTATTGCAATCAGTTGGTGGGTGGTCTGGTGAAGTTTGCACCTTCTTTCCTATCAAACCTCTATTGCCCTCATCTCTTCTTCTTTTCTTTGTATGTTACTCTATAGAAATTCCTCTAGTCTTCAGCTCATATATATATATCTTAATAGTGTCACAATTGCTCTAAACCTCTCACTAAGACTTAAAGAGGCTTGTTTCCAGGTTATGGACACACTTACTATTGATGTTAGCATTGAAACAAATGGGGTGAATAAACAGTATTATAATATGTCCCGACAGAAAAGACTGTGTAATGTTTCTGTTTTGTTTGTGGTGCGTTGGATTATTGTATCACTTTTTCTTAATCTGAAGATATTCTTCTTGAAATGTATGGAGGTAGAACTCGTTAAATACAGTTGACCCTGCTCTGACAGCCAGCTGTACTAGACAAAAACCTGTACAAACGGCCACTTCCCCTTTCCCCCTAGCCGTTTGAAAAAAAAAGATTGTAATGACACTGTGTAAGATGTCCACCTGTCTAAGACAATCACTTTTCTCGTCGACATTGGGTGGCTGTCTTAGACAAGTTCGAATTGTAGTTGTTGTACGGTACCTTTGAATTTCTAATTTGAATTCCATAATGTGTGGCCTCATGAAAGCATTATTTTGGTTCTGTCATTCAGCTTCCCTATCTCTTCGATGGTGATGTGAAGATCACACAAAGTAATGCCATCCTGAGGTATCTGGGTGCCAAGTTCAGTCTGTGTGAGTACTATTGTTGTTGTTTTTTTCTGATATGGTGCAACGATTCCTAAACTGGATTAAAAATGTGACTTGTTTAGTGCAATGACCATGTGAAATCAGCGCCTTTGGTTTCTATGGTTTTCCTTTACTAGCATTTGAGATCGAAAAGCTAAATTTTAATACTTAAATTGTTTTGTAGAAGCAAGGGTATGGACATGTACTTGAAATTCCTTTTGATCATGTTTAGTTAAAAATTGGCTGGGCAGAATCCGAACCTGCTACAAAGTGCTGGTTTAAAGTATGACACTGGGGGTACTTGAGAATGTTTGGACATTGCATGTACCCATTTGAACACTCGTTTTCGTTATGACCAAAAAAGGGTTATGAAGAATATATATAATTTAGAGGGAAAAACATTAGGGGCAAATTGTAATGTGACTTCTGCTGATTCTGAGTTGTTACTTATCAGTTATGGGTTAAAGTTGCTCTTATCTAAAAACAGCACTCTGTCTGTTGGGTTAAGCATCTGTAGGTGAAATTCCACTATGTGAAGTGATATAAATCTCTGCTAGTGTTTGGTTATCATAAAGAATTTTTGACAAACTTGACTTTTCTCTAATATGCGTAATTTTTTTTTCGCATATATATGTTCATAGCTGCCAACCATTAATTCGTTAAAATGTATTTGATATGTTTTTGAGGGTTTGAGTATCGAAGTATGTTTTCAAATCGGGAAGTATTGATATGCTGAAAAAAAAAATTAACTTCCACGTTTATTGATTGCAGAAAAGTGTGTGTATGGAAGGGGGGGGGGGGGAGTTACTTGGCCAATGCCCACCCTCTTGACCTACCACACTGGTAAAGAGTCTATTCTTTTGGTTTTGAAAAATTGGCAGCTATGTATATGTATGTAGGTATGTATATATGAGTTCGCTTAAATCGAACACAGTAAAAAAAATAGCGGTACACCGAAATAAAATTTGATCCCCAATGTAATTTTTTATTTGCTATTTGAGCAAATTCTCAGCTGAAGAGAATCCATCCGCCCCTCAAATTTCGGTTGAAGCTGACTTTGCTGTATTATCATTTGTTTAATGAAGAAATGAATCGTTTTGTTCTGCAGTGGGAGAAGACCCAAAAGTCCAAGCTTACTCAGAGATGATGCTGGAGAATGCCATGGACATGAGAAATGCTTTGGTCAGATTGGTCTACAGCCCAGGCTATGTAAGCTCACCCATTTTTTTGTTGTTGTAAAGTTTTAGTAAGTGTTTTACAGCAATTGTAATTGCTGTTTAAAGTTGTTGTTTTTTGTGATTCAAGAGTGGATTGATGCTCTTGTACCATATATGATTCTTGCTCCTCTTTTTGTGTCAGTTGTGAAAATGGAAGGTGCACCCCTGTTTCAAGGCATTTTTCATAAAGAGAAATTATATTTTTTAGTTTTATGCTAAATTTTACCCCTTAAACATAAATCAGACATGTTTTTACTGTTTTAGTTTAAATTCAGTAAATTATAATTTTTCGTTAAACTGAATTTTTTGGAGGTGAAGGTAGTAGCACCGTGACATCATTGGACCCTGGTGTCCGTTCAGAACTGCTGTGAGAAATAGTTTTTTTCTGTGGGATTTTAATGCTCACGGAACATGTGAATGGAGACCTCTCTTATTGGCTGAGAGCATGCTTATGGCTGTCCCCATACTCTTGCAGCGTGTGTTTGGAGGGCGCCACTAGTAGGTTGTACTTCTTTACTTTCCCTCTTTTGTTTCTGTCTGTCTGTCTTTCTTTTCCCCCCAGCACTATTATGTTATGTCAATGTGGTGCTCTTTACTCAAACAAACTCAAAAACATTCATATATTCTTACTGTTCACTTTTGTTTTGCAGGATGAAAATGTTGACAAATATTTTACGCAAGTGGATGAAAAGTTCAAGCAATTTGAAGCTTTTCTGGGAAAGAAGGACTGGTTTGCTGGTGGCAAAAACGTAAGTGTGTGGATGGGAAGGAGCAATTAATGTTAGCAGTTTAACTCAACCCTTCCTAAATTGCTCGTTATCGCATGGTAGTTTCTCTCTTGCTGCCACCCATTTTTATATGACCTTTTTCTCTGAATTCTTAAACTCTTTTTCATTCAAATTGAGCCTGAATCTTGATATCTTAATTTTAGTACCCATAAGCATTTTACGGCACGTACAAGACAATTAAGTCACGTAAGTGCAGAAAATTAGAGGGGTTACAAGAGAGTAACAGACATAAAAAAGAAGGAGGAGAAATAAGGACGATACATGTTGGAAAGAAAAGAAGGAGCAGACCACACCAGAGTACCAGACATCCACCCACAATCTATATTTATCATAGTCAAGCTTGTCATTTAGGTATTCCGGAAGGAGAAACAATGTGCTTTAGTGGCCCCGTTGAACTCTAGTACTGCATTTCTTCCAGCCAGTTTTGGCTGAATTGAACAGGAAAAAGGTAGGGTGGGAAAGTGACAAAGAAATTAAGAGATAAAAGCCACAGCTGAGAAAATCAATATCTTACTTTACATCAATGTTTTAGATCCAAAGACTTTTAATAACTGTGGAGCAGGTCCATGAAAACATTAATGAAACTGCGGTGACACACGTAACACAATGCGGAAAAAAGATTCGAAGTAGTGATAGAATCGTTCTTCATTTTTTTCTGTTTGAGGCAACCTTCTTCGAACAAAAAATAAAATACTCAAGCAAAACATTTCAGTCTGTATAGCAAGTGTCAAGATTGTAGCCTGTTTAGTTACATCGATTTTTGTATTCTTTTAGGAAAAAGATAGGGTGGGAAAGTGATAAAGGAATTAAAGGATAAAAGCCATGGCTGAGAAAACCAATATCTTCTTTTACATCAATATTTTAGATCTGAAGACTTTTATTTTTTAACTGTGGGGCAGGTCCATGAAAAAATTAATGAAACTTTGGTGACACACGTACCATAATGCTGAAATTATGACTTGTTGAAAAAAAGATTCAAAGCAGTGATAGAACCATTCTTTTTTTTTTCCTGTTTGAAGCAACCTTCTCTAACAAAAAGAAAAAAAATACTCAAGCAAACCTTTCTGCTTGTATAGCTAGTATCAAGATTGTAGCCTATTTAGTTAACATAGATTTTTATATTCTTCTCCCCTTCACAGCCCACCATTTGTGACTTCCACATCTACGAGCTGTTGGACCAGCACCGGCTCATGAGGCCCGAGTCCCTCAAGGGCTACTCCAATCTCCTCGCTTTCTTGGACAGATTTGAGGCCTTGCCTCAGATCAAGGCTTTCCTGCAGTCGGACAAGTGCATTAAACGACCGGTGAACAACAAATGCGCAAACTGGAAGTAAAATGTAAAATTTTAGCCTTTTATATAAAATGAATTTGTCACATTTGTATGGCTAGCTATTGTTGCAATACTGAGTTTGGTATTTCAAAGGTTAATGCAGGCGTTTCTTTCATGTCCTTGAGTGAAACGTCTTACAAATTGTATGGGCACGCCAACAGGTGTTTTGTTGACATTGTCAGACAGTTTTTTCTTTACTGTGAAGACGAGCACACTCTGGTTTGTGTTGGCTGATAACCCCAGTATCGCACTCTCCCTGGGTAGATGATCTGTTATTCCAGAGAAATGCCAGCTTTGTCAATTTGATAATCCAGTATTGGTTCTTTATTTCATTGTTGCCACCTTGTTGTTTTAATTTATAAAGTGGAAGCTGATCGATCATGGATCTGTCGTGTTAACTATTTTGTGTTTCTATTGTCATGTACTGTGGGAACTTAAAATGAAGTCATTTTGCACCTTGTTTCACCTGCATGTTGTTTCTCGTAGTCATTGGTGCAAATAAATCGGTCATCTCTGTATTGTTGTCCTTAACTGATCATTGAGATTATCATGGACAAAGATGTTGAGTGGGAGATAATACGGTAACACACATTTTTTTGTACTTTGATATTAATGTTACAAAAGTGATATTAGTACTTATTCTAAAAAATTCTCAGAACTTGTCCATAATATGACCTTATGCAGTTGCGAGCGTCGTAAAACTCTTACCAAACTCAGACCTCGTCTCTACTTTTTGTTATTTTATTCATAATAGGCACTGATATTATGTTCTGATTTAGAAGTAGAAAATTTTAAAGATCTGATCACTGATAGGATACAGGTCTGTTTTTATATCCGCTGATGCTTGATATGGTCGGTTCAAAATGAATGTTAATATGTTGGGAGGTCAACCAGATGTACTGTGTACGGTACAGTTGCAACTTATCAAGCTGTTGATATTTTGTTGCAGTGTGGTTACATTTGAAATTGCGAAGTCAAATTTTTAATCCGTCAGATTTTTAAACTAACACTAAAGGTTAAGATAACAACAGGTAACAACAAGTGGGAGGTTGTAATTTGAAAGATGGAAATGGTTTTGGGCTCACAGTGAAAGAAACATTATGCTTTGTGCAGCCCTTTGAAAATATTGAGTAAAACACATGGCTGGCGAAAGAGGAATTTACGTGGCCCTAACATTCCAGTTTCATTTAATTTCAATGGGCTGTGTCTCATGGTGCTGTTGGGGGAAGAAAATCAGTTTTTATGTTAATTTTGTGCCAGTAAATTTCACTAGTCTATGATATAAGTAGGTGTTCATTTAATATGCACATGAACTACATGCATATTTATGTTTGTGAGTGTGTGTGAACCTCCACACAATGCTTCATGTTGAAATGAGTGTACTTCTAAAGCTCACACTGAAGGGATTCCATTTATCTGTGAAAGCACAAGGTTCACTAATTTATGTCCACCAGAGAGATTAAATGCCTTGGGTTGTTCTGGGTAGATTATGGCACCTTTGGGCATTCAAATGTTCCAGATTTTAGGGGTGCTTGTACTGTTTTCTGATGCCTGTTGCTGCTTTGAAAAGCCGTATTTTGTTTTTAAAAATCTTGTTTGTGGAATTTAAGCTTTACACAATACATTTTTATTCCCAAAATAAAAATTTGGTTTGTCTTTTTTCTTAGTACACATGACATGATAGAGTTGGGAAGTAAAATCTCCATGTCGTTTGAGTGAGTGGAAATTAACTTGGGTTCAACGGAATAGTCTTACTGGTTTCATTCTTCAGTTCTGCCAGGTCCAGGTACATTAGATTAACCCTATCCGTACAACCTAGGGTAATTTTGTACCCCTGGGGTTGTATTCTTCACATTTTAGAATACTTCTAGTAAGATCTCTTTGAAACTTTCAGTATTTTTCAAAAAATCATTTTGACAGACTGCTATACAAAGCGTACAGATCGGATTAACGAGTAAATTTCCTCTTTGGAAAGTGCTGGCACAGAGTCGTATGGATACGATAGGAAAACACGACGTACTGATAGGGTTAAGAAGAAAGGAAGGAACCCATTCTGCACAATTGTCAACCAGTGCATATGATTTAAATAATATGAAATGTATTTGGTAATACTTTTTTGAGGGTATGAGTGAGAAAGTCCATTTTCATTTCAGTTGTTGTTGTTGTTGTTATTGATCCAGCAACAGCTGGGCTCTTGCCCTTCTGTTCAATGCCATGTAGTGATAATAGCAGAGCAGCTTTGTGGAGTTGCAGTAATGTTCCATAGAGTGTGTTGTTAGTCGTTTCAGAAAAGATGGTGGGTGGTTGGCGGGTGCTGTGGTGTGGTTTGCTTCTTTTTTCCTATTAAACATCTATCGTCCTTCTCCCCTTCTTCTTTTTAATGTTTGTTACTCTCTTATAACACTTTTAATCTTCTGGCACTCATATGACCTTATTGCGTTGCAAGTGCCATAAAACTCTTACTAAAACAGAAAAGATGTAGTCTCTGTTTTCTAATATTGCTTCTCGTGGACTTGCAGATGCTGCAGAAAAAATACACGTTTTATGAACTTCCAAGACTATTTGTGAATAACAATGAGAACAGTGTCTATTTATATAGACAACTAAGAAATCTTAAGCTGCAGGACTACTTCGAAAGGCTTAAGTTTATTGAATGTAGAAAAGTGTGCTGGAAGGGTCTTTTTAGGGGGGGGGGGGGGGGGGGGGGGGTGTTACTTGGCCAATTCACATCATCTTGTATATTAGTTACATAATGGTTTTTTAATTATTTTTTTTTTAAATAGTCGGCAGCTATGATAATATTGAAACTTATTGTTTGTCAGCTTAAATTGAATATTTTGTTCACCTCCAGTTCAATCACTTTTAGTTTTACTGGGTTTTTTTTTTCAACTTCTCCCGTACACTCGCCGAAGATGTTACAGACGTCTGTTGTATAGGAGTTTAGTGTTTCACCTTTACACACAGCAGACCCGAGTTCAATTCCCGAGTGGGGAGAATTTTTATCAAGTGTCAAATATCGGTGGGTGTTTGACGGGTGCTCTGGTGTGGTTTTCTTCTTCTTTCCAATGAAACGTCTATCATCTTTATCTCCCCTCCTTCTTTTTTGTGTTTGTTACTCTCTTGTAACACCTCTAATCTTCGACACTTATGACCTTATTGTGTTGCAGGTTCCGTAAAACACTTACTAAAACTAAACTGTCAAGCATCGTGGCTGTTCTGCTGGGATGCTGCACCTCTCTCAGCACGGTTGGCCCGCCATCTAAATGAGTTAAATTGTGTTGATGGAGGCGGGGGAAAAAACCAACAATCCCATTCTTCATAGTAAATATTATGTTAAAACTTAGAGCGTGGGAGGTTGGCAGGTGCTCTGGTGTGGATTGCTCCTTCTTTCCTATCAAACATCTGTCGTCCTTATAACCTCCCCTCTTTCTTTTTTGTGTAGGCCAATGTTACTCTCTTGTCAAACATAATCTATTCTTCGGCACTTATATGATGACCTTATTGTGTTGCGAGTGCCGTAAAACTCTTACTAAAACTAAACTAAAAAACTTTGAGCTTTTTGGGGGCTAATTTTTACAGTAGTTGCTTACCTCTTCACTGCCAGGCAACCGCCGCTTGTGGTGTAGAAGTTAGGTATTTCACAGTTACACGCAGGAAACCCGTTTTTGATTCCCGAGTGGGGAGGAAATTTGTATCGAGTATCTCGGTCTTTCTGCTAAGATGTATCCTTCTCACTGTAGCCCGGGTTGGCCCTGACAGGCTGCGTGGGAAGCCCACCTCCTAAATGATCTAAATTGTGTTGATGGAGATGTAAAAACACCTACGAAGGCATTACATATTGCTATAGAAATACCGTATTTATGATATTGTTAAATGTCATGCGGTGGGTGGTGGCAGGATGTCACAGGTGTGTCCTTTTTATTTTTTCTCTCGATTGTTTTTGTCAGTTTATCTTGTCTTTTTTGTGGCTGGTTGGCGTGTGCTCTGGTGTGGTTTGCTCCTTCTTTCGTAGCAAACCTCAAATCTGTCGTCCGTATCTCTCCTCGTTCTTTTTGAGTATGTTACTCTCTTGTAACATCTATTTTTCGGCACTTATAAGACCTTACTGTGTTTAATGCTATAAAAGTGGTTGGTTGGCGGGTGCTCTGGTGTGGTTTACACTGGTTTGCTCCTTCTTTCCTATGAAACAACTATCGTCTTTACCTCTCCTCCTCCTTTTTTATGTTTGGTACTCTCGTGTAACACCTCTGCCTCTAATATTTGGCGCTTATATGCCCTTATTGTGTTGCAAGTGCCGTAAAACTCTTACTAAAATTAAATGCTGTAAAACTCTTACTAAAATTAAAACTAGGCTTTTTTTTCCTTCTCTTGATGAATGCTACTATGCCAATGTACTTTGCTTTACCCAAAATAAACACCATTCATTAAACATATTATATATAGAAAGGTTAAATCAAATACTTTGTTAATTACTATTCCAAAGGGTTGATGGGGGTGTTAAAGTTAAACCTATACCATTTTTTTTTATTCCAAAGGAAACAACAGAACCAAAATTCTTGTCCCAAAAACGAGATACAGTGTACTGTGTTGTAAACCTTACAACTTATCGTCCTCCACTCAGTCATACTGGACATTTCCTACGTCTGTGGTATAATAATAATAATAATAATAATAATAATAATAATGATGATAATAATAATAATATATAACATTTATATAGCGCATTAAAAAAGTAGCTCAACCCGCTTTACATTGGAATACCCGTTTTCAAAACCTTTCGCACTACTTCCTTTCTTCTCATGCAATACATATATATTTATGCACACACACACACACGCGCACACACACACACACACACACACACACACACACACACACACACACACACACACACAAACACACACACACTCACACGGACTATTTACATTTAGACGTAGGCACAGAATAACTATAATAAAAATTATGCTAAAAGCTTATGAAGGATAGGCCTGTAGGAACAGAAAATGCTTAAGATGTCTTTTGAAGCTATCAAGTGTTCTTGTTTGTCTTAGTTCCATGGGTAATCCGTTACACAGCGTAGCGGTTAGGCGCTTACTTGTCACTCGCAGAAGATCCGAGTTCGATTCTCGTGTAGCGAGAATTTTTGTCAAGTGTCGCAGTCTTTCTCCTGGGACGTTGTATATATTCTCTCTCAACCCCGGATGGCCCTGACAGGCAGGGCAGGGTTTAGTAAGAGTTTTACGGCACTTGCAACACAATAAGGGCATAATAAGTGCCGAAGATTAGAGGTGTTACAAAGTTACAAGAGAGTAACAAACACAAAAAGAAGGATAAGGGAGAGATCAAGACGATAGATGTCTGATAGGACAGAAGGAGCAAACCA